TTATAACTGTCTTTTTGTTAAGTTGCATAACATTCTTTTGTGTTGATATTAATATATATGGGAAATATTTACACTGCAACTTAATTTTCCCCTATTTTCAACAAGAGCACTGCACACGGATGCATAATATTCCCGTCAATACATAAAGCGTAATCATTCTCAACCAGAGCACCACAGGATCAAGCTACCTTACACAAATTTCCAATGAAATTTATCCCAAATATTATGGAAATAAAACAATGAATAATAAATATAATGAAATATACATACATGTGTACATGTAATTTCTGATTAAGACTTTTTTCATTTAGAGTTGACTCCCTTTTTTCCCCCTACTTTTTAAAAATGGTCGCTCAAAAACTGAGGGAGGAGATCCCCTGACAAGATTGAAATACCGAAAACAACAAAGGGCAATAACTATTTCAAAAATTGTCAAATCAAAGTGGCGAACAGGAAAGCACATGCAACTACATGTCATGATAATCAAGCCTACCAAGTTTCAAGAAGATCAGTCAAAAACTGAAGGAGATCTCCAGACAAACAAAAGTTTACTGACAGACGTACGGACAACACCATACCATAAAATGTCCCGTCATAAGACGGGCGTATAAAAATCGGTAGTTGATTTGAAAAACTAGATTAATCCCTGTACAGTCTAGTGTGAGTATAGGTGGTCATAGTATAGAAAACTCTGCCGTTTCCAAGTTATTACCTAATTTCCCCTATTGGGTCCTGCTCCTGGGGTGGGGATATCTGGTAGCATGAGTATATTCAATGGTCTGTTGATGTTCAATGGGGGTATATATGGTTATATACGGTTGGGATCTCGATAGTTTCCAAGTTATGACCCAATTTCCCCTATTCGACCCCGCCCCTGGGGTTGGGATAGACCCTGGTGCAAACTCTGGTAACATTAATATATTTGTCTAATGATGTCTAGTGAGGGAATATATATGGTTATAGGTTTGCACGTTGCGATCTTGACCGTGTCCATGTTATGACCCAATTCTCCTATTGGGCCCAATCCCTGAGGTGGGGATAGACTGTGGGGCAAATCTGGTAGCATGAATGTATTTGTCTTATGATGTCCAGTGTGGGTATATATGGTTATAGGGTGGGGCTCTTGAAATATTGAAGAAATATGGTTGTGAGTGGTAAATTGCAAACATCTGCAGTGCTGCTACAACCGAGGCTGGCAGTTTCACCCCATGTAACAAAAAGTATGCAAACTTTGTTCATACAAGAAATCAATGGACATAGTTGTGGGATACTTAGACACCGACATGAAAATCAGTCAATGTGATATACCTTATATGGCTGTAACTTTTCGAGCTCAGTTCATGTACGTATGCTCGACTTTTGTTCAGATATAGCCCTTTTGTTCTTTGAATTTTGATTATGATTTGATTAACAGTAGTCTTTTCTCCATTTTTCTTTTACCTACCTTTATTTGTATTTCCCTTTGTGCTTTGTTTGGGGACACTTGCTTGCTGACCACTGCATTTTCCTGAAGAAAGAAATAATTCAACATGAAATTCATTTCATATTTGTTTTTATTTGATTTTGTATGATGAAAATAACTTACATCTTTATATAATATCATTATCTACTGAAAACCCAAAACTCCATTCCTAATCATGAACTTGTATGTACAAAGCCCGCTAGTGCCACTAGTGAAAATATTTTATGTGCGTCCGCCACTTAATTTTCTGGCGACCGCCACTTATTATCATTCGGTCGCCACTTAATTATACCCCCACCCCACAATGAAGTTGGGGGTAAAATCACCCTGTCCAGACGTCCGCATTTAATTTGTCTCGACAACTCCTCCTTAACAGGCAATTTTCATTGAAACTTTTCATGATCAGTTTATTATGTAGTTGAACACCAGCATTTTAATTTCGGATTTCAACCCTTTTTGAGTTATGGCCCTTTCTGCAAATTTGTTACTGCTTCTTACCTTCTCGACATATTTATATGAAACTTGGTAAACATGATTAGTACCTTTGGTAGTTGTGCGATGTATTTTTTATTTAGAATATGTTAGTGGGAGTTATTCCCCTTTTCTGTTTTCCGTTTGTAATCTTCTCCAAAGTGCTATAATTAAGTGGCAGCCGCCTGATAATTAAATGGCGGGCTGGTGGCCGCCAGATAAAATATTTTCACTAGTGGCACTAGCGGCTTCTGTATATATAGGTTTATAGGGTGGGGATCTCAACCATTTCCAAGTTATGGCCCAGGGACCAAGTCCCCAGTCAGGGGTGTATAAAAATCAACTTGCCCGACACCCGGGTCAACCAATTTTCACACTAGGGCTCGTGCAAAAATGTAACACACTTGCCCGGGGCAAGTACACTTTTTTTGCGTATTTAGGGGCCCAACATATTTTTCTTCGCTTGGTCTTATTTTAGTTTTCCCAGCAAAATTAGCGTCTTTCACTGTTTCACCAGCACAGGGTTAGTAAACAAACTCCAATTGCTCGAAGTATATTGTTTATCTTTTTAAGACAGTATCGCGCTCAGGGTCCAAAATATCTATTGTTTTCGTCTCTCTATGTCCAAATGTGTAATATGAGATGGCAAAAAAAATATTAAAGAAAAACTTCAATGTTTTGATGCTCAAAACGTGACACCTGGCACTTATCATTCGGTTTTTTTAGATTGTAAATTAAAATGCTGTCTGGTACAACACACATATATATATGTTCAATGGTACACCATATAAGGAAATATAAGGAAATTATTATGCATTTTGGTTAGGAAGTCGTCACTTTTAAAAAGGTATCGGCAAATCCTAGTTTTCAACAACAGATTTAAGACACTATTTGGTATGCACCACTGACTTAATACAAAACAAATACTGACTATTATCAATAACAGTGATTATATGTAATCTTGTGTTCGTATCTATTACAGAAATGGGGAGAAAAACCTTCGGGTCAGGTGACCTTATGACAACTCCTTCCAACTTCCTTACAAGTCACTGATAATTTATATTAACAGACATTATAACCATGACTTTATTTTCAAAATCATCCACCGAAGACCACATAAAATACTATGAAATTTATGTTTTGGAAGAGGATAATACCTTGCTTTCTGTCGTCTTCATCCAATTCTGGATGGTCATCTACATCGGAGTCAGAGTTGTCCTCAACCATGTCTGTATAAATGAAAATTCAAACAAAAATGATAACAGCAACTAATTTTTCAGTCAGTTCTTCCAACAATTCAAATCACACCAATATCAAATACAGATGTGATCCAAAAGGGATCTTCGCGACTACCATCAGTCGCAACTACCATCAGTAAGGAGAAATTCAACGGGTGAGAATAGATCATAGATATATAATGTAAACTTGCCTAAAATATTCAGTTAATATATCTGTCTGACGATCATCGAAATCATAGTAGTAGTAGCAGTAAGAAGGACTGGTACGATACACCGGTGAATCAACGATACCACACAGCTTTTTGTTTTGTTGGTTGAGGAGTATTTCTGTAACATTTCTTATGAGTCCATGTTTACAAGAACCGTTTTTGCATATACAAACGAAAGTGAAACCTACTTTCTGATTTCTGTTACTTCAGAGTCCTGAAGTAACAATGTTAAAGTGATTGTGATTGACTTGTAGCCAAAATAAGGACCAAATCAGATCGCACGAAACAATTGAAGCATGTTTAACACTCGGAGGCATGGCTGACGACTGCGACTGGTATAAATATCAGGATATGTATCGGATCATACCTGTGGTACCATGATACGGATCAGATCACAGCATAGGTGTATCGTCCCATCCCTAGTAGTAAGATATCTTGTTTGATGTTGTACTTAAAACAAGTCCTCAATATGTGACGCTTTACTATGGCTAACAAGGGTATTCATGTACATGATCGGCAACACGATTATAGCAGGAATCACTAGATCTGTCTTCCGGACCACCTGGCTCATTTCCCTCTGGAGGTTTATCTAGATATTAAATGAAGAATAACGATTTTGCCATGCCCCAGTATTCTTTTTTATTTTTACTCACATACTGACGTACCTTACACACGCAAATGAGGACCGTGTATACCACCTGTCGTGCGATTCACAAACCGACAAATGAGGACATGACTTTAACACCAGCAAATGAGGACCGCATATACCCGTCATGTGATTCATACACCGACAAATGAGGACATGATTTAAACACAAGCAAATGAGGACCGCTTATACCCGTCATGCGATTCACACACCGACAAATGAGGACATGATTTAAACACCAGCAAATGAGGACCGCTTATACCCGTCATGCGATTCACACACTGACAAATGAGGACATGCCTTAAACACCATTCACACACACCGACAAATGAGGACCTGCATACATGTTAAGTCTCCCTGATTTTTAGTAAGTCTCCCTGATTTTTAGTAAGTCTCCCTGGTTTCAAACATAAATTCTAAGGCTCACCGCATTTTTTTCAACTGTCACACTGCCAGGTAGACCGACAGATTTTTAGGTAGACTCTGGCCAGCGGGCCACTGTTAGTGTCAAACACTGATGATACATGTATACACACTTACAAATGAGGACATTGATACACAGCTATAAACATGCATACATAGAATATGTATTAAATTTTAAATCCCAGGTAAAAAAGGAAACAACATGCATATGCATTTATGAAAGACATTATTTTTCCCACTATCACCATTTTACAAGGAATTGAGTCTTATTTAAATGAAATAGGGTAATGCATCTAGGGGCCTAGATTAAAAGTCATTTAAGCCTGACCCCTGAGGTCCCGTATAAGTATGAGGCAATGCCCAGGGGTAAAATTTACCAGTGTTATATAGGGAAAACATGTAAATGGCTACTTCTTTTGAATAAATGTATTGATTTCAACCAAATAATTCAGTCAGTATGGTTGGCCAAAGCGGAAGCTATGTCGATCAAACTAGAGACCTTGACCCCCCAGGTGCCTAAAGGGTGGGGCCCAAAATGGGTCAAAATTTTATTAATCATCAAAAATCATCTTCTCCAGATGGGAACAAACTGTAGTTGGATTCTCCTGCCCTATGGTACGGTACATCTTGGGGCCTAGATCAAAAGTTTCCAGGACCCCTGGGGTTCCCATATGAGGCAATGCCCAGGGGTCAAAGCTCACTAGTGTTATAATTGGGGAAAAAAAGAACTGTATTAACTCGCTTGTAAGGCGACCCGACTTATAAGTCGGGGGGACGTTTTCAAGTAAAAATATTGGCATTTTCCTTCGACCCAATTATAAGTAGACACTGAAAAAATGCCATGCAAGTGGAAAACCAAAACATACTTTTCAAACTGTTGAAAGTCGTTTTCTGTTGAAAAATGAAGCTTTTCTTTGGCTTTCTGCTTATTTTGCGAGTGATTTGCAGTCGGACCCGCGGCAACAATTCAGTGTTCTTTCAATGCTTGTACCAGAATTGGTATCTCATAAACATTCGAGTGATCCTATAACTAATATATAAAATTAAATTGTTTTGTGGTCTAAAAGTTTGGATAGTTTTAGACGGCAGAAATAATGTTTAATAATTAACAAAAATTATAATTTGTTCAGGCAGTAAAAACAAAAATATTAAGTGAACAACTAATACTGTACAGGACTGGACAAGTGGTTCTGGCTGTGTCACTCGTCCAGTCGTCACAGACGAGTAAACATCTGACTGGACAAGTGGTTCTGGCTGTGTCACTCGTCCAGTCGTCACAGACGAGTAAACATCTGACTGGACAAGTGGTTCTGGCTGTGTCACTCGTCCAGTCGTCACAGACGAGTAAACATCTGACTGGACAAGTGGTTCTGGCTGTGTCACTCGTCCAGTCGTCACAGACGAGTAAACATCTGACTGGACAAGTGGTTCTGGCTGTGTCACTCGTCCAGTCGTCACAGACGAGTAAACATCTGACTGGACAAGTGGTTCTGGCTGTGTCACTCGTCCAGTCGTCACAGACGAGTAAACATCTGACTGGACAAGTGGTTCTGGCTGTGTCACTCGTCCAGTCGTCACAGACGAGTAAACATCTGACTGGACAAGTGGTTCTGGCTGTGTCACTCGTCCAGTCGTCACAGACGAGTAAACATCTGACTGGACAAGTGGTTCTGGCTGTGTCACTCGTCCAGTCGTCACAGACGAGTAAACATCTGACTGGACAAGTGGTTCTGGCTGTGTCACTCGTCCAGTCGTCACAGACGAGTAAACATCTGACTGGACAAGTGGTTCTGGCTGTGTCACTCGTCCAGTCGTCACAGACGAGTAAACATCTGACTGGACAAGTGGTTCTGGCTGTGTCACTCGTCCAGTCGTCACAGACGAGTAAACATCTGACTGGACAAGTGGTTCTGGCTGTGTCACTCGTCCAGTCGTCACAGACGAGTAAACATCTGACTGGACAAGTGGTTCTGGCTGTGTCACTCGTCCAGTCGTCACAGACGAGTAAACATCTGACTGGACAAGTGGTTCTGGCTGTGTCACTCGTCCAGTCGTCACAGACGAGTAAACATCTGACTGGACAAGTGGTTCTGGCTGTGTCACTCGTCCAGTCGTCACAGACGAGTAAACATCTGACTGGACAAGTGGTTCTGGCTGTGTCACTCGTCCAGTCGTCACAGACGAGTAAACATCTGACTGGACAAGTGGTTCTGGCTGTGTCACTCGTCCAGTCGTCACAGACGAGTAAACATCTGACTGGACAAGTGGTTCTGGCTGTGTCACTCGTCCAGTCGTCACAGACGAGTAAACATCTGACTGGACAAGTGGTTCTGGCTGTGTCACTCGTCCAGTCGTCACAGACGAGTAAACATCTGACTGGACAAGTGGTTCTGGCTGTGTCACTCGTCCAGTCGTCACAGACGAGTAAACATCTGACTGGACAAGTGGTTCTGGCTGTGTCACTCGTCCAGTCGTCACAGACGAGTAAACATCTGACTGGACAAGTGGTTCTGGCTGTGTCACTCGTCCAGTCGTCACAGACGAGTAAACATCTGACTGGACAAGTGGTTCTGGCTGTGTCACTCGTCCAGTCGTCACAGACGAGTAAACATCTGACTGGACAAGTGGTTCTGGCTGTGTCACTCGTCCAGTCGTCACAGACGAGTAAACATCTGATTGGACAAGTGGTTCTGGCTGTGTCACCCGTCCAGTCATCACAGACGAGTAAAAATCTGACTGGACAAGTGGTTCTGGCTGTGTCACTCGTCCAGTGGACGAGAAGAATTTTTGCGTGCTGAACAATATACATGTATATTGAATGATGATGACAAGTTAAGTTTCATTGTACCTTTAAATAATTTACAAACACTGAATTTACTCATATTTTCAGAGAAAAAGTAGAACTGACATTGAATACTGTTGCCCGATTGGCATAAAGTGATAAACGTTTCGTGATTGGTCAATCAGTAAAAGGTTATTTCCTAACTAGAATGATAATATCTTTATTAAGTAGTCCAAGTTTTCTCCAACTCCTACCCGCCTCCGACAGCTATCTTATGGATATCGGCTGTGTAGATTAAGTTATTTGCTTGTTGAAAAGGCGAAATTATTTCGGGACCACACAGTCACGGGAGGGACCTCGCTTGTATGAGTCAATCACAAATAAAAACACTGTACAGGCAACACTCCCCATAGTCAGACTTGTCCGTGAATGGTAATTATATCAGTAGACATCGTCCTTACAAATATATATGTCACAAATTTCGTCATTAGTGATCCATGATTTTCTAGTTTCAAAGTTTACCGAATTTTAGCAACCATTTTGACCTTATACAGTCAAACCTGTTATAGCGACCACCTGCACATAGCGACCACATGTCTATTACGACCACCTCCACAATGCAACCAGCAACCGGTCATTTTGGTCCCGACATCGTCTTATAACGACCACTCTCTCGTCATCGATTTTGGCGACCAGTCTATAATGACCACTTTTCTAATAAAAAAAGATCTGTCATATATATTTGTATTTTTGTTTTAATGTTAAATGTATGTGCTTTTATTTTATCATTCTAAATTGTAAGAGGATATGTAAAAAAACATGCTGGGCTCTGTAAACGAACACTATAGTTTAAAAATAAGAACCCTGCATATAACGACCACCTGTTTATAGCAACCATTTTGGACTGGTCCCTTGAGTGGTCATTATAGACAGGTTTGACTGTATATCACTAGTAAAGTTTGACCCATAGGTGTGGCCCCATATATATAGGACCCCAAGGGACTCATGAAAAAAAATGAATCTCGGTCCCAAGATATAACTCGTGTCTGCGGCATATATCAAATATATATATATGACAAGAATATTAATTTTTTTTGAAGATTTTCTAAATTTCCCCTTCATGGCCTCGCCCATCAGGTCCCAATTATCAAACTTGAATCCTCTTGTGCCATATATATAGAAGCTTCCTGCCAAGTTTGGTTGCAATCCGTCAATTGGTTATATGGAGAAAAAGTAAAACATGTGAAAAGTCTAACAATGGACACCGCACGACGTGGAAAGGTAATGTCTACAGCTCATGATCAGGTGAGCTAATCATTTATAAAAACTAACCTTTGTCCAAGGCAACGGCCTGACACCATAATCATAGAGAATCTCTTCTCCCGCATGAATATCTCTGAAAAGCAAAGTGATAAATCCATTGTAGAACATTGAGATATATAACCATATGTTTTTATCTCCCTAGTTCTCTTAATTAAACCAAGGAAAAGTTGATGATCAGCAAACTTATGCCAACCTTTACAATTATTAAATTCTACTTTGGTAGGTCATCATTTTATTAATACCTATCACAGGGCTAAATAAATTTTGGATTAGAAGTTCAGATGTACCGTTATCTGCACTAAACAGAGACCAATATAGTCTGGTGTTCTGTATTATCGTGGTACATATATACATCGTGGCAACACCGAGATATCAGTAATATTTCTCACTCAATCAAATGACAAGCTGCTGTCCAAAATGGATGCCGATTTGTCGGTAACAATAAAGTTGCATTGTGTTATTTCTATACGGCATGTCTAACAGAGCCTGGGAGAGGATTCTCTCTGTTCGTTTAATAAGACAATGGATTATGGTTTGTTACGCCTCAATAGCCCAATATATTTATGAATTAGACAAAAAACAATAAGTAATGAAAAGTTGAGTTGAAGATTATACGTGTCTCGATCGATCTCAAGACCCTGGCAATTTGGAAATAGACACTTTTTTCAAAGAAAATATCTTGTTAACTAGCCAAAATACATATAGGTCTACAATCATAGAGTTGTAAATATTGTTGAGTGAAGGAAGTGGATCAAGTCCATCCAATTCAAGCATTGTCTTATTATCTGCACAGGGGTCGTCACTTGTCAACGTTAGTCCTCTATTACGAGACAAGTAGATCTCAGCAAGGACCAGTGAATCTCTGGATCCTTCCATGACTACAAGTAGTCCTTTCATTTGATTAATTGCTAAATAGATAAGGACATTATTTATTTTCACAACTGCTTTATTATAGAAGACAGGAAATGGTATGTTGATTTTCAAAAATTTCTCGTACTGCCTATCTGCTTCGGACCTGTAAAATAGTATAATGTCCTCAAAAAAACTTGTCCCCACTTCGCATTTGTGTTTCTTTAGCAGCCTGTACATAAACAAGTGAAATGAAGGAGGAACTAGAAGTAGTTTTAGCAACAATAGTCCTCGGACTATAGGAAAATCTAGACAGATAGTATATCACTACATTGCTCCTAATATTCAGACCATGCATGCTTCCAGAATAAATTTGCTTTTTTTTTACAAACATGTTAAAAATTGCCGTTTGCTCCTAACTATGATAAAGATAATAAAACTCTGTCAGGATTGAAATATTTCCTCCTGAGAGACAATCAATGAAACAATAGTATTGGTAAAGAAATGTGATGATCTAAGAACAGATTACTACCAGCTTATCATTAACTGCTGTATAAAATACAAAATATAATGTGTCTCATTTTGTAAAAGCTTGCATTCTGTTAAATTCAGGGTTTTCGCATTATTTTTCAAACCTTCCTTATTTTTGCCCAAACCCACTTAAAAAGTATCTAGATAGATTTTTGTTCAAAAATTATAACAGGTTTGGCGATAGTTAATGTTCGGCGAGTCTAAAATAAGCTAAAATAATGCCCGGTTCCTGTAATTGTTCAACAAAACTAACAGCACTATAGATGATAAATAGAAGATCTTATAGGAGTGTCCATACATGCGATATTTATTTAACAAGTTCAATAGGTGCCACGAGCGTTTAATAAAAGATTCTATTTACCATGTAACATATATATTTAGTAGAAAATAGTGATGAAATGATCTCGATTGTAATGGAAAAATGATCGGTTGACAAAATAATTTCCGATAATCGATAGTAAATTCTCATTTATTTTTAAATTGTTTTAACTAAGGCTATGTATCGAGATAGAAACCTGACTTTAATAGTCCTTCCTTGAAAATGGCCAAAAAAACTTCAGGGTAGGCACAAAAATATAGGGTCGGTCGGGTTAGCGGATACACGATGGTAACCTGAATCATTGAATGAGTCAATATAACATAAAAAGGTTTCTTGAAAGATTATCGTTCCGTCAAGTTTCGGTGCAAAATACAAAACTGTTATTCATGTTTATCCAGAACTCATCAGCTCGGATTGAAAGTTGACACCCCCCCCCCCCCCCCCCCCCCCCCC